CTAATTAAAATAGCAGATCCGTTATGTTCATAGAGATCTGGATAGAGAACATCTTTTTACTTGGGAATATAAGAGCGTAAACATTTTCTGATCCAAGGTTTAGGATTAGACAGAATTAGTTGACAAATGATTCCTTCTTTACACTGTGGAATCAGAGAGGCTGTTGAGAGGGGAATGTTTGCTGCAACATCTGTTTGTATTTACCTGTTACTTGGGCTCCTTTGGGGACCATCTAAATGTCATTTATCTCTGGCCCTTGAACTCTTTTCTCCCTTGGGGCACCACAGCTAATGACCCTCATGAGCAGTAAATTAGCAACATGTGGCCAATGAGGACTTCTGTTTTTCAGGCCAATTGCTTCCTTCCTTCCCTATCTGATGTGGCCGTTTGAAAGGGTAGTCACAGTATTCTTTGCTTGCTCTTTTGTTTTCAAGGCTAATTAAGGAAAAAAAGTACTCCTGGTCGGTGGTCTGGGCAACATTTTAAACCACCAAGTTCAGAGCTGAATTCTGAACAGGAATACAGCTAAGTCCTCAACTGATGGCATTGAGTCAATATACCAGGTGACTATTTTTTGTCCCCATAAACCCAGGATCCAGGAAGATACAGCACTGAATCAGGTACTTGGCTTCGTTTTGAGGGCTTTTTGAGCGTCAGATTTGTTTTAAGTGCTTCATGTTCGTTTTACATTTCTGTTTGCCTTTCATGTGCTCTGGTGACATCATCTCCCAAAGGGGTCAGTTGTATAAATCAGCCATTTTGATGAAAATTTTGAAGGATTAGTTTCTTTTGTGCCTGTTTTAGCAATATCCTGGTATACAATATATCTGTATCGCAATACACAGAATACTGGCAGCCTGATGTGTTGCATGAGGCCCACATGGTCTGATGGCTGCATGTCCGATTTTGAAATCAGATCAAGATTGGTTTAAATAGAAATTGTACCACTTTCCAGCCAGGTGACTTTCAGCAAGCCATATGAGTTCTTTGTGTCTCAGTTTCCTCATATGTAAAGCAGGAATACACATAGCTACCTCCCTGAATTGTTGTGCAGATGAATACACAGTACCAGGAAACAGGAAGCAAATCATCCATGCTAATCAGTAGCAGCTAACATGGACTGCACATTTGTTTTGAGATAGCAATTATGGGAATCTTGAAAGCATTTCTAGGCGATAGGAACCATTATTAACTTACTGGAGACAAAAAGAGGACAAGGTAGGTACTTACTTAGTATCCCAAAGATAGGGAATAGCCATACTAGGCTCCCAGCGATTTTGGCTGGCTTATGTTTCATATGTATGAATGGTAGGCATGAAGAGTTTTGCCACCTTTGCATGATCTCCCTGCATGCAAATGCCAGTGAATTATAGTCCTGTTGTCTCCTCTTTTCATTAGACTTAGTCAGAAGGGTGAGAAGGGAAAAATGGCATAACCGCATAACCAGAAGCACTGTGTTTTCAGTAGATCCTGGAAGACAGCTACAGTGGCTGGCCATAAATTCATCAGTAACTTGTCAACTGAGAACACAGACTGGTGCTATATTGTGTATACATGTCGTTCGAAATAAACACACAAACAGCAACAAAACTTATGTACATCTTTAAGTTACTTTGTTAGAAGGGAAGAGTCTTGAAAACAGAGAACTTATTAATACAGTTGAAATGACAAATGTCAATATTATGACCTTAATTATAATATTCTGAAAACATTTACTCCTACAAATTTAAATAGAAATACTATTTTGCTATCAATTGTAAGTACCTTCAAGATTTTAAAGATTAAGATATGAGTTGGACTGGGAAGTTGGCTCAGTGGTACAGTGCTTGCCTTGCATGCATGAGGTCCTGGGTTCGATTCCTCAGCACCACATAAGCAAAAAGAAAAAAGCTGGAAGAAGCGCTGTGGCTCAAGTGGTAGAGCACGAGTCTTGAGCTGAAGAGCTAAGGTAGCGCCCAGGCCCAGAGTTCAGGCCCCACGACTGCCCCCCCCCCCCAAAAAAAAGATATGAACTCGCTTGTTTATTATGTCTCTGCTTGGAAACCATTTCTGATACCCTCCTCCTGACAGATGCCCTTTCTAGAAGACTCCTGATCTCTGATAGTCACGATGCAAGATGTAACACAGCATATGTAATTGCCTCGCCTCTCTTCCTGCTCCAAGAGTTTCGGGAAGACTGTTCCTTTTATGCATAAATAAATTTTCACATAAAAAAAAATATCTGAGCTGTGTGTCAGTGGCTCATGTCTATAATTCTAACTACTCAGGAGGCTGAGATCTGAGGTTCATGGTTCAAAGCTAGTTTGGGCAGAAAAGTCCGTAAGATTCTTATCTCCAAGTAACCACTCAAAAACTGGAAGTAATACTGTGGCTCAAGTGGTAGAGTGCTAACCTTGAGCATAAACAGGCTCAGGGACAGTGTCTAGGCCTGGAGTTCAAGCCCTACAACTGACCAAAAAAAAAAAAAAAAAAGATTAAGAACTGTTATATAAACTCATATGTACAGCAAAATAAAAAGAAGATGAACAATTAAATTACAGTTACCATGGGAATTTGCTTTTTCAATTAAAATAATCACCAACAGATGAAAAAATGTGGTCTATCCACTAGATGGAATATTATTCAGCAATAGAAAGAAATTAAGAGCTGATAGATGTCACAACCTGGGTGTTACTCACTGCAGTCAAGAATCCAATGTATTTCCTACAAAATTCTGAAGAGTGAGAGAAGGAAGTAGGTAGGTAAGATATGGGTAAAAATGTTGATCAAGATATAGTGCCTTCATAAACTGCTTTGTTAAATGGAAATTCTTTTGTATAATTACATAAAGAAAATAGGAAAAAAATCATAAACCTATATAAAATAACCACCTCACAAAAGACCATAGATAGTATGATGATTCCATTTATTTATTCATTTATTTTTGTCGGTCATGGGGCTTGAACTCTGGGCCAGGGCACTGTCCTTCAGCTCTTCAGCTCAAGGCTAGTGCCCTACCGCTTGAGCCAGGGCACCACTTCCAGTTTTCTGGTGGTTTATCAGAGACGAGTCTCACAGATTTTTGCTGCCAGGCTGGCTTTGAACTGCGATCCTCAGATCTCAGCCTCCTGAGTAGCTAGGATTTCAGGTGTGAGCCTCCAACGCCTGGTCTGACGATTCCATTTATGTGAAATGTCCAGGAAGTCTTATCCACAGAGACAGGAAGAAGGTTAGTTCTAGAGACAGGAAGAAGGTTAGTTCTTTCATGAAGAGGAGTGGGAAGACACAGGGAACTGAGAAGTGACTTTTAATGTGTACTGCTTCAAGTGGTCATAAAATTACATTATGATAACAGTTGTATAACTCTGTAGAGATGCTAAAGTCTACAGAAGAACTTGATGAAACAAATTATTTCATAATGAATGTATCTTAAAAATTGCCAATCCATATTATAGGACGGAGTAGGGATAAGATGGGGTAGGGAGGGGAGTTTAGAAAGAAGGATTGGATAGGTAAAAATACAACCAAGGTATGTAATACGCATATAGGAAAAATCACAATAAGCCTCATTTTTTCAGAAGTATTCATTTGAACTCACAGCCTCAGGCTTGCTAGACAGGCACTCCAGCAGTAAGCCATGCCTCCAGCTTGAGCCTCATTTTTTGTAACTATTAATATTAGCTTGTGAGAAAGAGAAAAACCCAGTCTGTTATTTTTCCTACCTATTTACAAAATGATAACAACGATCTCTTTAGGTTTAGCAGCTTTTCTGAATAGAAAATTATGAACAAGGGTTATTTTATCCATCCCTAGTGTTTGATAATTAACTCACCATCCCTTTCTCACTTTTTAACCTATTCATCAAGTTCTAGACAGATGTAATGGAGTTCTAGAGATAGTTTTCTCTCCATTTTTCAGTACAATTCTTTTTTTTATTTTATTTTATTTTATTTGTGAACATACTGTACAGAGGGGTTACAATTACATGGGCAGGATAATGCGTACATTTCTTATCAAGCATTGTAGCCTCCTCCTTTGTTTCCCCTTCCCATCCCTTCCCATCCTCCTCCCCCCTCCCTACCCCCCTCTCCCCCCCCCCCCAGCAAAGTTGTAAAGTTCGTTTTCAACATAATGATTTGTAAATCTCATTGTTGCAATGGGTCCACCTGTATCCCTATTTAAATGATTTGTTTTTTCCCTTCCCCTCCACAAATTATACCAACTTCAAATACAGTGAAAGCAGGGGTTATACCGTGGGGGAGGGACATACAAAACAACAAAGAAATAATCTTATAAATGTGTTAGAAACAATTACATGAAAGAAAAAACATTTGAATACATATCTTAGGGTTCATTTCCCTAACATCAAATTATCTGACCTTTTCTGCTTGACTCAGGCATATACTAGTTACTGCAAATAAGGGAAACCATGGGACCTATGTTTCTTTGGTCCTGGCTTACTTCATTTAATATAATTTTTTCCAAGCCTTTCCATTTCCTAACAAATGGGTCAATGTCATTCTTTCTGATGGAGGCATAAAATTCCATTGTGTATATATACCACATTTTTTTGATTCATTCATCTACTAAGGGCATATCTTAGCTATGGTAAATAATGCTGCAATAAACATAGTCGTGCTGGTAGCTTTAGTGTGGTCTTGTTTGTGATCATTTGGGTAAATGCCCAAAAGTGGGATTGCTGGGTCCTAGGGGAGCTTTATGTGGAGTCTTTTGAGGAACCTCCATACTGCTTTCCAAAGTGGTTGAACAAGTTTACACTCCCACCAACAATGCAGTAAGGTTCCCTTCTGACAGAATAATTTGCCTCACACTTTTCTTGTACTGACTCCAGAAGGTGTGCAAGGGGCCAAGAATACCTGGGAGTGGGTACTGGCCTTGAACTCTGCAAACACACTTCCCCTTCTATCCCTCACTGGAGGACTTGACTTTCATCCAGGGAGAACAACAGGGCTGGTGGCCTAAGGAAATAATCCCCACATTCACAAACCATAGTGACTTACCCTGGGGATGTCACAAGCCAATCAAACTTGGATGTTTGCTTCAGAAAACAGAAGGTGAAGACATATAACATGACAAATTGACCCAGGGTTGTGTGTTGGGGTTTGTTTCTGACTGTGCACATCCTCAGTGAGCAGTCTGTGCAATTGTAATGAGTGCCAACATGTTTACTGATTACCTATTAGTGAACTGACTGTTCAGGCAGATAGTTTGCCTTGAGCTAGACAAAGCTTGTACTCTTCCTTCTCATTTGAAAGAAAAACAAAACAAATAATAATTGGATAACTTGCATGAGAAAGTTTTGTTTGATTTGGCTGGATTTGGTTTGTAGTTTACCTACAACAGGATCAAGAGATCAAAATATCTTGATTCAAAGGAACTGTCATTTCAACCAAACAGAGAGAATGAGCCAGAGAGGAAGTATTGGGAAGGATAGAGGTGAAAGTAGAAAGGGCAAGGTCCAGGTGTCATCACGGGAGCTTGGAGCTCTTCTGCTTTTGCTGTCTATTCATTTAGGTTCTGTGGATCATTTCACAGAGGATGGACAAACTTATTTCCCCCCACTCTCCTCTCCCTTTCCTGCAGGAGATCTGGGGAAGAGCAAAGAAAGTCTGTAGCATAAGGATCAGCAGCGACTGAGTCTAGTCATGTTACAAGCCAGTCAAAGTTTTGATGTTTACTTCAAAAAGCAGTTTCCTTATAAAGAGACTGGTATTGGCTGTGGACTTTGGGCTGGTCTCTGAATCCTTGTCAAGAATCACTTTTCAAAGAGGACGTTTAGCTCTAAAATCATATGAAGTCAGAGGCTTAGCAAGAGCAGTGGGAACAAATGGAAACTATCTCACAATATCATTCGTTTGGATGATGTGATGGGTTGAGTTATTTTCGCTAGGAAAAGGATGTTGAAGTTTTCTAGTGTCTCCCAACCTGACTTCATTTGATAAATAGGGTCACAGTGGATGCAACTAGGGAAGATGATGTCATCCTGGAATAGGGTAGGCCTTTAACTCAGTGTCATTGTTTTCCTTAGGAAAAGGAGAGGAGAGACACACAAGGAGACACCACGTGATGGTAGAGATGGAGTGATTCAGTGACAAGTCAAGGCATGTCGAGCATTGCTGCCACCACCAGAGGCAGGGCAAAGGGGAGATTCCAGCAAGGGAGGCTGCTAGCCTCCAGAATAGGAGAAAAAAATGTTTCTAAGTTTTAAGTCACCTAGCTGTGGCACTTTGTTAGAGCAGCTATCAAAAGGGGGGGGGATACAGCTTATTTATGTTTGAATATGGAGTATATGTTTATAAACATATTTTTCTGCAGCCAAATCAGAATGCTTATGTGAGCCACTTCTCTAAGGATTTCCATTTTCCTTAGGCAAAACTGATTCTAGTTTGCCAGCCTACTCATATAAAATTGAGGAAGAAGTTGTAAATAATTTCAACCTCTACGTCCCAGATCTCCAGGAAAAGATCTTTGTGGCTTCTAAATCTTCTGGTCTCTTGACTTGGTACCCCAAACACTCAGAGGAACTAACATCCATTTCACCTGGCCTCTGTTCCTCTTCCCACAACATCAGTTCCATGTTCAGAACAAGTAACCCAAAGGGCATCCTATGAGATTTGAGAAGCTATTATTTCATTTTATTTTATTTTTTGAAAAGCAACTCTCAGACTGGGTGTTATTTTACTTTTAACTTTCCCCTCCAGTTAACCAATTTTTACTATGCATCTTGAACAATTGTGATCCTATCCTTACATAACCATTGTACTATTGTCCCCTATCCAAATGAACAGATGATAATTCACTGGTATCATATATACCATAGATCTGTTTGTGTTTGTTCAAAATAGAAAATGATCAGGTGACTAACTCTGTAAATCACTGAGGTTGAGAGAACTCAGAGAGACAGATTCTGTTGGTACCTTGACTGCCAAAGGCAGAAGTCACACAGTTTGTTTTTAAATATCAAAATCATTAGAGTGTCATTGAGGGCCTCAGAGATCATCCAGCTCAATTTCTCTAATGGAGAAGGGGCCATGGAGTCTTTGTGTGGGTAAATAGTTTTTTTTTTTTATAATGAATAAATTTATTGTCTTACAAAAATCATTGTCTAGAAATATGGGAATATGAGAAAAGATATTTGCAGTCAGGTGTCTAGTGGTGAACAGCCAGTACAATTCATCCAGGGGAAATCCAAGATGGGTAAATAATTTTTAAAAATTATATTTTGTATTATAAAGATACTGTACAGAGGGGTTACAGTTATATGAGTAAGGTAATGAGTACATTTGCTCTTGAGCATTGTTACCTCCTCAGTTTTTCCCCAGCCATCCCTTCCCTCCCCAATTCCTCCCTTCCTACCCCCTCCCCCACCAGAGTTTCAAGGATAGTTTTTGTATTTTTTATTTTTTTAAAATTTATTGTCAAGGTGATGGACAGAGGGGTTACAGTTTTACAGTAAGGTAGTGGGTATATTTCTTGTGGAACTTGTTACTCCCTCCTTCATTTTTCTCCCACTTTCCCTTTCCCCAACTCTCCCCACCACGCTTTACAGTTCATTTCCAACATACTGTCTTTTGAGTATCGTTGTTGCATTGGGTCACTCTTTGCCCTTTGTCTCACCATTTTGTTGTTCCCCTTCCCTAATTCAGATAAATGTATATAAAATACCCAGGGTACCAAAATCAAACAGTGACAACAGGTAATAAACCATAGGAAAATGAAAAAAAAAAGAAACAAGAAATCACATAGTACATTAAAATCAACAATAAAGTCTTTTGTCAAAACTGCATTTTTAAATTAGCAAGTCTATTGAAAAGCTTTCTAGATCCTTTACAATTTGCATGTCTGCCTCTCTAAATGGGCTTATCATTTTAATTTTTAATTTTTTATTGTAAAAATATTGCATCTGTTATTATTAGAATTCTTGATTATAGCCATTCTAACTGGGGTGAGGTGGTATCTCAATGTTGTTTTGATTTGCATTTTTTTATGGCTAGGGAGGTTGAGCATTTCTTCATGTGTCTATTGGCCATCCTTCTTTCCTCTTCAGAGAAATTTCTCTTTAAGTCTTTAGCCCACTTATTTATTGGGCAGTTGTTTCTTTGAGGGTTTGTTGTTGGGGGATTTAATTGTTTGAGTTCCAGGTATATTTTAGATATGAGACCCTTGTCCGTTTTATGGCTAGTGAAGATCTTCTCCCAATCCGTGGGCTTTCTATTGATCTTGCTAGCTATGTCCTTTGCCATGCAGAAGCTCTGCAATTTCATGCAATCCCATTTATCCAACCAACCTTTCTTTGATTTGTTGTGTTTCTGAGTCTCTATTAAGAAAATTTCAGCCTGTGCCAAGGAGACCTAAGGTTTCTCCTATTCCATCCTGTAATGTTTTCAGAGTGTCTGCTTTGACTCCGAGGTCTTTGATCCATTTGGAGTTGATTCTGGTGTAGGGTGATATATAAGGATCTAGCTTTAGTTTTCTACAAGTGATTAACCAATTTTTCCAGCACCATTTACTGAAGAGGCTGTCTTTCTTCCATTCTATTTTTTTAGCTCCCTTATCAAAGATTAGATGGCTATAGGTCTGTGGGTTCATTTCTGGGTTTTCAATTCTATCCCATTGGTCCTGAGGTCTGTTCTTGTGCCACTACAAAGCTGTTTTGATTACTATGGTTTTGTAGTAGAGTTTGAAATTTGGTATTGATATTCCTCCAGCACTGTTCTTTCTATTAAGGATCGTTTTTGCTATTTGGGGTCTTTTATTGCTCTATATGAATTTTTGGATTGCCTCTTCTATTTCCTTGAAGAATGAGGTTGGAATATTGATAGGTATTGCATTGAATTTGTAGATACTGTAAAGATCATTTTCAACATAATGACTTTGTTGCTGTTGTTTTTAATGTACTCATAGTCTACTATGTGATTTCTTTTGTTTCTTTTGTATGTTCTTCTCCCATGGTATAACCCCTGTTTTCACTCTATTTGATTCTGGTGCCCTGCATCTTGTATATACATTTTTTTTTGATTTGGGAAGGGGAAAGGAAATAACAAAATGCTGAAACAAGTATACAGGCTGACCCATTGTAACAATGAGATGTACAAGACACTGTGTTGTCAGGTTGACATTTACATGTCAACTTGACATGGTACAGAAGGGCTCCATAATTGGCAAAATGAATGTTACTGTTATTATGTCTCTGATGGTGATATAGAAAGAGAATAGTGTTTGAATCAGGAGATGGAATAAAGAAGGTGTGCCTTTACCAGTGGGCATTATTCAGTCCAGTGAAGCCTGAATGAGGATAGAGTAAAAAATGAGGACAGAAGAAAACCACCAGCTGGTGCTGGTGGCTCACCCTGTAACTCTAGCTACTCAAGAGCCTGAGATTGGAGGACTGTGGTTCAAAGTTAGCCACATCTGTGAGACTCTCATTTCTATTTAACCAGCAAAAAGCCAGAAGTGAGGGTGTTGCTTGAGTGGTACAGACCTAGCCTTGAATGAAAAAAAAAAAAAACCATAAGAGGCCCTGAATTCAAGCTTCAGTACTGGTACAAAACAACAACAACAACAAAACCCAAAATTAAAAAAATCCACTACCATCAACAAAAACTATGGCAAAAGTCAGAATTTCCTTTTTTTTTGCAGGTGATAACAATTTTACTCTGTCTTTGCAAATCTCTAGACTTTCAGATTTATTCCAGCTCCCTCTCTGGTTCTTAGACCATTGGCTTTTGGTTTGAGGTGTACCACCAGCCTCCTTGGTTCTGAGGCTTTCCCATTTTGGCTGAGTTATACCACAAAATTTCCTGAATTTGTAACTTGCAGAGTGCAGATTGTGGACGTCTTGGCTTCCATAATTGCCTAAGGCAAGTCCCCAAATAAAGATCCTTTTATATAGATTGGTTGCAGCGTGTCCTATTGATCAGTTTCTCTGCAGAATTTTAATATAGGCGCAGCAAAGGTATGTGGCATGTATAGGCACCTGGCAGCCTGGAGGCTAAGCAAAATTGAAGCCCATCCATATGCCTGACTTTCCATTTTGTCACAGCTTTTCCTTTTTCGGAATAGAGATGACACACAGGCTTTCTTAGTAGCCAAGTTCATTATGTAA